GATGGAGTGCAGGTTTTACAAGTGAATGCAATGAAACTTTCACCATTTTTGGGATACACAAAAAATGTGTGTAAAACGCGATTTGTATACCTCGGCCTTTTCCGTCATACATTTAATTCTAGGCTCAATGAACCTCTAATGAAAAATATTTTACTTCAATTTCATATACGTACGAGCTAACTACGATTGTTTTTCAGGTTCAACTTTAAGCTATCGTTTGGTATTTGAGGCATAAATTAAACAAACCGAAAAAACAAATCTGGTTCTGGGTTCTAATGTTATGTCCATAGATCGACTTTGTCGCCTTCGCAAGATCTACCTCACATATATCGACTTGTTAAAGTAGTATCATTTCTGTAAAACTTCCTTCTTGTAAAACAAACTATTGTATTTCGTTCAATTTTTTTTCAAAGGTATTACATCTGTACCTGGTAGAGACCGCCTTAAACGCACCTAGTGAATTAAAGATTCACAAAACTCCGTATTTATTTAAAGTACCGTCCAAATATTAGAAATTGTTATTTAGGCGGCTTAGTTTAGCATAATAAAACACTATCAAATCAGCAATCCACGATCAAATATGAGACTGTAACAATATCGTGGTTAGTGTAATGTTAATACGAGTGGCACGTCAGTCATGAAACACACAAATGCTGACTTACTACAGTGACTAATTTGGGGTTATTTTCTAGCGAGCGGACTGAGATAATCTGACAGATAATCCGTGTAAAGCATAAGGACGCTCATTCATCAGATAATACCAACTTTCATCATTATTAGGTTTGCATACATTTTATTACGAGAAACTACAAACTACTGAGAGCTATTTTAGTTCAACGCGACTTCACGACTGACATAATGCCTCACAGACGGTTGCAAGTTTCGGATCTCGCGTGACATCTACCGAAATAGATTAATCATGTTGTGTAATCGCTTCTTCAGTGGCCTTCTTACGCAAAATACGCATTTAACTCACGTGACAAGAGAATCTGGGTGAGAACTGACGACACCAAAACAATGCCCACTGTGTTGTTTTTGTTATGTCGCTCGTAGGCTTTCACCGTTTGTGGCTTTTGCATGAAGGGCCGCCAGTCGCTACTGCATTCGACTCGCTCGAATCGACCATCTGTGCTTGTTAATGGCCGCCTGTGTGTATATGTCTTATTATTGACGTCACTGCGGCTTTCCCGACCGCGTTTTTTCTCCTTTGTGCTCTTCTCCGCCTGTGGCGCCATTGTGGACGACACCGTTAGAAGGCTTGGTTTCATTGGGTAGTGGTTTTTCGTCGTTTCCTCTCACTGTTTTATCATCGTATTTTTTCTTTGTTCTTTGTAGTGAATGACCTATCTAGTTGAAGGCGCGTATGTGTTTATCTGTTTATTAGATGATTGGCAGCAAACTATTGAGCCTCGTCACTACGATGCCACGCTGTTTGTATAAAGGTCACATTGCCGTTCGTTTGTCCGTTCATTCGCGTTACCCCTTTACCCCTCTGTTCCTTCTTATTCTGAGGGTGACGCGGATGAGCGCAATCAAAATCGACACGAGGAGCACAGCCGCAGCTGTGATGATGCTAATCGGCAGCGGCCGATAGGTGAGCGGTCAGTCGAGCAAGACACGCTAGCTTGACTACGTCATGTCAGTGCTACGCTGAATGAAAGTGTGCGTTGATTGTGGTCTTGCGATGCAGCGAAGGCGTATTATATTTATTAGTTAGACACACGCACAGGCCAAAAAAAGGCATAGAGCTTTACCACAATGCAGACTGGCTCGTTGTCAGCCGGATTCAGATATTGTTTGTTGAATTTTATTCAGTGTTGGCTATCGTCCGTAGTTATGTAGGAAACAGGAAGGAAAACTGACGTTGATAGATATTTTTTCTTCTTTAGAAAATTACTAACGGAGTCTACTAGGCAAATGATTAGGGATAATGGCCGATTTGGCGCCGCAAGTGAGCACAGAATTTTGACAGTTTATCAAAACCTGTCACATCGTAGTGCTGAGCGTTGCGGGCAAACCACTAGCCGTAATAGAAGCTGTAATAATGTGGTACACTGACAGTAACAATACGCAGTTAATCGTCCATCTTTTCCATGCAAAAGCCACGTTACTGACGCCCGTTGGACAGATCCATCTTCCACTGTACGTGCGTGCCGACACGTGGAGCATTGGTAGAACGTGAGATCTTAGTTTTTGGTTTACCATCGGATTCCTAGGTGTATGTATTTGTTGAGTTTAACTTACTGACTAAAACCGTTGTTTTTATGTCGTTCCTTAACATTAACGAACAGCAGACACTATACATAATTAATATGAGAGTTTGCATGACACGGTTTATAGAGTCTGTACAAACTCAGAGAATCATGGAAAGTATGCGACTGGCCAAATCAGCGTACCCAAAAACGATGGGACATTGTTTTTAAAATAGCTAATCTGAGGCTATCCTTATTGTTTAGTGAATCTATAGCTTTTAATGAGCGAGTTCGCAAACGCTTATGCGACCTCAAGTGTCCCTTAACACATTTGCGAGAGACGGGTTCTACTATTTTGATAGCAATGCAACTGATACGCGTATCAATTAGATTTGTGACATGTTTTCAGATTGATTTTTATCGGCATGCAAAAGAGCCTATTTACTTTTAAAGGGCCCGCAACTTATATTGAGAATAGGTACCAAATGTTCCGGTGCTCTAAGTCCAGCGCAGTGCTCTCGACTGTTGGAGACAACTTGGCTGTTGTTAAGTTCAATAACCTTATCTGTACGGGCTATGGCTAATACTGTTACGTACTAACCACAATAGTTTCTTACGCATTAAGATCTAGTTATGGATGGTTTATAATTATAGAAAATGCCGAAGGTTGGTGCTAAAGACCCTCAGATCGATATCGCACATCGTAAGATTCTTAATTCCAAAACGAACAGCCATCCCGTTCGTATGATTGGCATTAAAACGGCTGTCGGAGGACGTTACAGAAAGTCAAGGATTAATTACGAAGCCTCAAAGTGGTACATACGACAAGCGTTCAACTTTTTTTTTTACAGAATCTCAAAACCTTCTTATGCTGTACTAGGAAGTACCGTATTGACGCAAACTGTATCAACGTCTATTATCATCGCGTTTGCGTATTTCTCGGAAGAATGCGTATCGGTAACTACAAACGGTGTTGAAAAAGGCCGCTGTCCCTACGACCTGCATAAAAAATTGGATCGGATATTAAGAAATTCAAGGTTTCATGAGCTTCAGACACTCGGCTGGGGATATAGTTCTCCGGCTTGTTTTTGACAATGCAATTTCTATTTGAATGCTCTAAATTTATTTACGTTTCAGATAGAGTGCTGTGGAGCTTTTATTATTATTATTATTATTTTTTTTTAAATGCAAGACAGTTCCTTAGAAGCCAATTATGTAGTGAAGTTCAATATATATATATATATATATATATATATATATATATATGGCCTGCAGCGTGATTTAGTGGCAATTGAATGCGTTGCTTATAGAGAAGTAAGCGTTACTACAGAATAAATCAAGTTGGCCATTGCAGGGCATAGACTAGAAACAACGTAAATCGGTAATTTTAGCTAACACTATTCTGCTGCGGTGTTTTTTTCGTCTTCTCGCTCATTTCTTGGTTAGAGCGGTAGCTTATCTGGTCTGATGTATAACAGGTACCGCTGCCGCTGTTATAGCATCAGCAGGGCTGTTGTACTTGCTAGCGGTGACCGCATGGCCGCGTTCAGATGGCAGACAGTTGCATCAGCCGGTTAGTGATTGTCTGAATTCGGGGCCCAATGAATTTGTCTTTCGCTATGTTGCATCAGTTATTTAGTGACATCCGTTATTACTTGAGTATTCGGGGGGTCGAAACGGTTGGCCACACACAAATGCCTTGTAGAATATATTCGGAGACGTGAAGAAGGGCTATGGTTTTTATATAGGAAATTTACCGTCGAAGGAAGCATCACAACACGTAGAACGAGTTCTTAATTGTATCAACGCGTTAGATCATGCGCTTCTATGGAGATGCCGCTGTTCAGCTCTCCTGTGCCGATGACAAATTTTTTGCGTCGAGTTAGCCAAAGACATAATTTGGGCTTTCCTATTCGATGCTGATAGCTATAGGTGACCGTTTTATAGGCCATCGAGAAAATGTCCGCTGGCTTCCTTTTTCATGCACTATGCATTGTACGCTCGTTCACCAATAGTGGAATCTTCACTATACGTCTTCGATCGTGACGCTTCTCGCAAGGTTCCCCAACATTCTGTTCTTCTATTTCTATCAGGAGCGTCGATCAACATTGTAAATTTCTTTCACAACGGTCCACTTAAGCTTCAATTGTGCTATAAGCCGAGTGGATTTTTTGGTATTGCATCAGCAGGCAAGATTCGGCTATTAAATGACAGTCGGCTGAGAATTCTACTCCCACTGGTGTGGCATTATCGCGCTTATGTTAGGTTGACTAAAGGTCTATATGCTACTATACATTTTCATCATATCTTGTGTCAATCTAATCAATCATTGGACGAAATCTTACAGAGGGTATCATTTGCCTGAGGAGTGCTTTCTCTTCACTTGTTGTTCTTATTACATTCGCGAGATGATTCTCGAGCTCTTACCATTAAGATACTCAAGCCAACTTCAGGCTCTTACACGTATTTACTGTGAGATGTGTCATATTCATGGTGTCATTATTATAGGTCAATTCCACAACAAACTTTAGACAAACGAAAAGCCTATACAGTAGGACCCGATCTAGGACATAAACGAATAGCGATTAGTGCACGCACATCCACCGATCGAGTCGCTATGATCACCAAAGTTTTTCCATTCACTTTGATAGGCTCGGCAGCGAAGTGATTCAGATGGGCGCAACCGCCTTATAAGTGTCCATCTGTCTATTCTATAAGAGGGCGATCAACGAGAAGCGACACAAATAGAGGTTAACGAAACCAGAAAATATTGGAATGATAATGAATTTTACTAACAAACGTTCATTGGGCAAAGATGGCCAGCAGGGAGAGGGCATTTTATGTCATTCGTCTTAGAGAAGAAAATTTCCAGGTTCTATCATAAACTATTGCCAACGAGTAATTTGTCTCAACTTCGATTTGGCGACAACAAAGCTTTCGGCAGATAATGAATTTGCATAGTATATTCCTAATAGCACATCTGACTCCTAAACGAACGATGAAAATTTACCATGTACGAAAGAAGACTGGAACCTAATTGTGCGTCTTCTTCTACATGTGAAATACTGGAATATGCAACTTTGCATCGTAGCCAGCGCCAACGTTTATCACGTCGTTCCCAAAAATATGACTGCAGCGTCCATGTGTTACGTACCTAATTGACTTTACGTGCTTTGCTGAAATAATTTACTTGACAGAAATCTGCAGATAAACCGTCTAGCACAACTGGGTTGATACAGGCCAATAGAAAAAGACGGCATACAAAAGGCTGATACGGAGAAGGACATGTTTTATTTTCCTTTCATTACATGCTCGATAGATGTGGGACGACGTTTCTTTTAACAGCTGCATTTCTATAACAAGGGAAAATTGTCTTGAGAACCGACCAGTAGTTCTATGGTAGAGGCATAATTTAGTTAAATACTTTTGCTTTAATTTAGCACACGCTTTCAACTCTGTTGATTTTGTTGAAAATATGTAGAAAAACCCGTCGGTGCAAACTACAGGTTTTTTTTGAAGGACGGCTTTCCGGCTCTGTTATTCGCATAGAACTAAGGTAACGCTGTCAGATAAAGTGCTGCTATTAACTAAGCTCTTTAGTTTTTATAGCTACTTTTAAACGCCGTAGGCCTAAATAACGGCATATAATAGCTTTGACCCTCTCCACAAACTGACCGTAAACGTTTAGGTACTTCATATAATTAGAACAGATTTAGATATAGAATGATATAATATTCGATATCGAACCAATAAATTCATATTCGTTCTAAAAAACGGGTTAGTCTCGTGGAGAGCGTGGCGCTTAAAACTCGAATTTGTTCGAAATAAACACGAATTGGCAGGAGCCAGCCGTCTGATGGAATGCCTAACGACTTAAATCTCGAAATAAATACATCGTGTGGCCGCGTTCAAAATAAAGCCCTGAGATATATCTGGAAACAAATTGAAAAGGATTGGGCTTCCGCTTACAAGACACTTAAGGCGCAAAGCCCATTGAAATGTTCTACTAAAAAGGACGTATACGGCTTTAACTTCGGCATTATATTACGACTGAATTTAACGGTTCTGAACCGTGGGTTTACCAGGTGGATGCTATTACCTTATGTGAATACGGTATTCTAAGCTTAACTATTTTACTAGTTACAGAGTTAACCTGCTGTACATCGCTAGTAGTTCATCTCCGCTCGTACCTTACAGATGAATCAATCTTTCTATTATCAGTCGCATTGCCCATGCTGGTTTTACTGCAGAGAGAATAAATGGCGCTGCCAAAGCACTATTAATATCGAGTTCAAAATGACCGCTGACTATAGGCATTGGGAAACTCTTAGTGTCAATATCGTCAGAAGGTCGAAACGACAACGAGGGTGACCGTACGAAACCCCCAGTGTAAAGCAATAGTTGCGGATGCAGTTTTTTTTTGCACCGTCTATAAGCAAGTGTTCTTTGTCGGCGCGAAGCAACTAGACCACACATTGCACCAGCCTTCAGAAAAACACCGTGCGCAAACCGACAACATCATCATTGGCCCGCGTCATCTGGCCACCATCAACAGCAACGATATGTCTGCTGCTGCTGGTGTATAGCCCTCTCCACTTGGCCGTTATCCGCACGCATTCCCTTTCTCTCGACGACGGGCCCGCCTCACCCGAGTTACGGCGAACCCTTTGGCTGAAGAAGAATACAAAAGCCCTGTTTCGACCCATCGCTGGCAGGCCTAACGCCAAACAGCTTGCGATTAACATCGTTTAAGCGAACCCTCCTGACCAGAATCTCAGAAAAAAGCTTTGGGCGCCATAGTTCTACTACATCCTAATTAGCTATTTCATTCTCGTACTCAGCAACGTTTTCGTTTCAATTTCACTTATCAGTAGCTTTCTTCCGTCTGACTGATTAACTGTCGTTTGATCTTATTGCTAGAGTCACCGGCGAGTGAAAAACCCATTCGTCTTTCTCAGCCATATTGAAAAAATCCGAGTGAGTTCAAATTCATGCTTCGAGTTTTACGTCTAGTACTGCCTTGAAGCACGACGCGAAGTTTGTCTACGCAGCATTAGACAGAGTGAGTGTAATCCCGACGCTGCCACTAGTGAAGCATCACTTCGTTCGTTCTAAACGAACGCACAAAACGGTGGTAGCTCCTATCGACAAGCATTAACGTTGTCTACTTGTGTTGCACTTGTCCGGTTGTGATTATGCCCATGAGTGTTGGAATCGCTAATTTTACCCCTATTAACGTTTTTTTTGCGAGCTCGTCCAACCTCGATAATAATAACAACAACAACAGTTTGAACAGCGTGAACAGTGAATTATCTAAGAACAATCTGTGCTCGAAAAATTCGAAAGAACTAAAGAGTGAGAACTGACAACGCTTTCATAGTTAGCGGTGTATAAATGCAGCTATCTAATTGTGCACAGCATCAACGAAAATTACAAAATCATCACTACTACCAGCGCCAACGATAGTAACAACAGAGACTTCGTGCGTACGTGACGAGTATTTCGCCTCGCTTCTGCTCTTCGGCGGCCATAGAAAGTCCATTCAAACATAACAGCTGTTTTTAGCAGTAATTATTTTCGTATTTTGCTTTATTTTTTTCTAAAAACGAAGCGCAATGGCTGGAAATTCCAATAATCTATCGCCATCTAATTTGAGCTCGTCACCTTCGAGCGGGAGCCTGTGTGGATCAAGCCATCAACAGCATCGGATATCACTTGACACGTCCTATATTCGTAAAAAGCTTATTCTCAACGACGATTGTATGGTTAGCCCACGTAATCCAGGCGATGCCAAAGAGTCAAAAGTGTTGGTTCTGTACTCCGGAGGTACCATCGGAATGATCAAAAACAAAAATGGTGTCCTTGCACCAGAGCCTGCCATGATGGAGAAGAAACTTCGAACGTATCCTCAGCTTCATGATAGCGAGTACGCTGAGAAGATGTTTCCCAACGTCGACTGTCCACCGCTCGTGCTGCCTGATACCGGTGACAATTTCCGTGTCGTGTACACGGTCTACGAGTATCAACCCCTGCTTGATTCGTCGAACATGACTATGGATGACTGGATCCGAATTTCGTTAGATGTACAGCACTTTTACATGAGCTTCGATGGCTTCGTAATTCTTCACGGAACTGGTACGTTTAATGCAATGCTCATACAGTCACAATATTCTAATCTCCCTACTGATCCTGGTGATCTTTTTTTCTCTTTTCGTGTTCACTGATCCGTTGCTGTCAATATATTCGACTTAGTTCGTTCTTTAGTTACATTTTAGACTTGATCACCGCGATTTTTGGCCCAATGCCAACAGATATGCGACGAAGTTTTTCTTTTTTATGTTGGCTCGACAATCATTGCGTCTCTTTCACTGCAATCTTTCACGTACCGAACCGTTAGCGGCAAATAGGATATGGTCTATTAGAAACTATCAGATGCTAGTGACAAGAACTTTTAATTCTTTAAATCCGTTTTACCTAAATCTACTCAAAAACGGAAAAATCAAACGTGACACGCCTCAAATATATTATTTTTACGTATATTTTGTCGTGGTCTCTTCAAATACAGACACTATGTCGTATACTGCATCAGCCCTAAGCTTTATGTTAGAGAACCTCGGAAAGAGTGTGATCATCACGGGATCGCAGATTCCTCTGTTCGAGCCAAGAAGTGATGGTCGGGAGAACCTTCTAAATGCGTTGATCATCGCCGGAAATTACATCATACCCGAAGTGACACTACTCTTCAACAACAAGCTCTTCAGGGGTAATCGAACTACCAAACATTCTGCATCCAACATGGACGCTTTCGGCAGTCCCAATCTGCCGCCTCTGGCGACAATAGGTATGCATTGGACATCGCTCGTATTTAAGTTAATAGCTTGGAGACAAACCAATCGGACCACACGCACAATATCAGACGTTTTTATGATAATCTTTATTTCATGGTTCATTGTTAAGGTATCAAGATTAACGTCGACTGGAAGGCCGTGGTGGTACCTGCATCGATCGATAAATTCCGAGTGCACTCGACATTAAGCCGAAATGTCGGACTTCTTCGTCTCTTCCCATCCATCACCGTTGAAGTGGTAAATTTATGATTCTTATGCATTTGTTTATTTAATTAGCTTGATCTTTCTAAGGCTATTGATTTAGCAGTCAATCGGTTACCTTGAAAATGAACAAAAGCTTTTCCTCTACTATATACCCTTCCTATTTTCATTTGACCGCCAACAGGATGTGGGCACATAAAGCTATTGTGGGTGGATCATTTCTATCTTGAAACCGGCAATAGCCAAGGGTTTCGGATTTCCAAGATGATTCGCAATGGCTTTTTACTTGTAATGATATTCGGCACTACCGAACCAATGAAAATTATTTCCACTATGTAACACAGGGTCGAATACGACTTGATTGTTCAATATAGATTGGGTAACGCAACCAAGAGAAGGGAATAAAAGCAGCGGTTAAATCCAGTGGTACGTACCATTAATGTCTGCTGAATTTGCATAAGTTTCGGTAGGAATACAATTTACCAATATCACATATGTATCCGCCGTTTAATAGTATTTTGACAATGAGTACAGTTGTCAGGCGCCTACGTGTCCATATCCCTTCTACATTTCCATTGTATGTGGCATATCCTTATTGAGGGAGCGTGTTTCATCGTCAGGTCCACGTTGGCTTTGATCGAAAGGTCGGGTTGGGCGTAAAACAGGGTGTAGGAAACAGCTCGGATATGAACTCTTTGCGCACGATTATAGGAACAGCGTTCGGTGTTGTAAAACGGGGTCAAAGCGTACTGCGTAGTTATAGCTTGTGTGTAAATTGGCTTTTTGAGCGAAGTTGCACGAAGTAGGCGGTACTATAGACTAATGAACAGCAAAGCGGATAATTGTGCTTTTATGAAAGCAAAGCTGGTCGTAGGGGTGATATGCCGCTCGATCGTTGTGCGGATTATGGTGGAACTGTTTTTTGTAGTTAATCAGTAGCAAGAGAATCATCCATTTAGCAACATGTGTGATCTGGGCGGAACATGCGTGGTACAAGGTCTAACGATAGTCTTGTTTCCTGCGTGTCAGGTGCGAGCGTTTTTGACACCGCCAATTGAGGGTGTCATCCTGCAGACCTATGGAGCGGGAAACGGACCGACAGCGCGCAAAGATCTCCTAGACGAAATTCGCCGAGCGACTATGCGCGGTGTGATCATCGTCAACTGCTCACAATGTCCAAACGGGCGTGTCGAGGGTGTGTATGAGACGGGTAATGCTCTGGTGGAAGCGGGAGTTGTTCCAGGCTCTGACATGACTCCTGAAGCTGCCCTATCTAAGCTCGGTTACATTCTCAGCAAAAAAGAATGGTCCCTTGCCACCAAAAAGGAGATGATGCAAACAAATCTGAGAGGGGAGCTGACGGTCGTCAAAGAGACCCAAGGAGACTTGGACCTAATTACGGCAATTGCCAAAACTATGAACATCTCGTCATCAGAGGAGCTTGAAGCGCTCAAGACAACCTTATTGCCTTCAATCCTCTGCAACGTCGCTGCTAAGGGTGACTGTGAACGTCTTGAAGTGATGAGACAGTTTGTAAGTACTACTTAATGTGTTTACATAATAAATACATATATTATTATTGTGTACGTATCTTTGCGTAGATGGACACGATGTATGCAATATATCACATAGGTATGCTCTATTATCGTTCCCATTCAGCGATCGATATTTTTCATTCTATTATTCCAGGGAGCATACCTTTCGGCATGTGACTACGATTACCGGACACCGCTCCATATTGCTGCTTCAGAAGGGAATGCCCCTGTGGTGGAATACCTTTTAAAACAGGGCGCTTCTGTCCATATGCGCGATCGGGACCGCAGAACGCCTCTGCTCGTAGCGATAGATTGGGATCACCACGACGTTATTGACCTTCTCGTTCGTGGAGGATCGCACCTCTCGTTACCCCCAGAGACCCTTGCTGAATCCATGAATTCGGCAGCACGCAAAGGGGATATTCGACGGCTGGAGAGCTATCGTCGTGCTGGAGCCAATCTTGCTGACAAGGATACAGCAGGTAGGACAGCAGCACACGCAGCTGCCGAATGCCGCCAGATTGAGGTTATGGCTTACCTTCTCGAATATGGCTTCTACACTGAAGCAACAGACGTGTACGGTCATACCGCTAAGGACATTGCTAGTATTCTTGGACATCAAGACCTTGTGACGCTGATCGAAGAAAACCGCCGACCCTCCAATGATGATGATGAACGTAGTAGTTTACAGGGAAGCGACGCAGGGAGTGACCGACTGTCAACGAGTGCGACCGTGGAAACGTGTCGTCTCAGCGATTCAACTACATTGCACTTGCCGAGGCAGTCGCCTAGTCCAAGACCCCACTCGCCGCTTCGATCTTCGCGAGAAAGTCTTCCTGGGTCAACGGCGGACAGCCTGACAGGGTACTTCTCTGCATCACCTCCAATGCGTTCTGACACCATCTCCAACGTACTATCGTCCAGCACAATGCGTCGGCAGCAGCTTGGGTTCGCTACAGATAATACCTCTTCTTTTTCAAGTTTGATGATGCAATCGCCCGCACGACGGAACGGTCATATTCTGCTTAATGGATTCGCCGTATGAAATCACTTATTGGTATTCATAATTGTATTGTAGAGGTTCGTCGTGAGTAATTAGATGGTTTAATAACGTGTCAGGAAAATGTAACGCTTTTGTTGAGCCACCGTATATTGCATATACTTAATACAGTGTTGGATTTGCTCAGTTTTCATTATCTACGTGAAGGACGTAAACGAGCACTATATGGAACTTATTATTATAATAAAGACATTTTTACGTTTCAATTAATTTGTGGAAGGTCTGACAGCTATCTGTTGTGAAATATTAATTAGCTTCTTGAAAAGCATAAAATGAAATGGCCAATGAATGTACTGTAACAGTGTGATCAGTATATGGCCAGATAGAGCAGCCGAAACTTCAGTTGTGGCCATGCCTGTTTCTATGCAGATAGGAGGAATGGCGTATCTGCGCTAGTCAATCCCAAGCCCAGATTCAACTTGAAGCTTGTAACATTACGATCATGGTGAAGTCAAACATCCGGGAGATGAGGAAAAGTTAACTGCGCCATATATATATATCGAGTGTTCCATGCTACGCAAGTACGCATAACAAGTAACCATGTTCCATATGTTCGCGTTCGTAACATACACACATGTGGTACACGCCCAATTAAGTACAGCGAAATCAATCCTCCCACGCAACTCCATGAGTAATACTGCATGTAAAAAGTGCAATTGTGTTCGAGACTATGATACTCTCTCTTATAACAGTTGATTAGGGTATCCGCCATAAAAATACTTGTAATACTCAGTTTTAATTGCTATTTAAACGCAATTTAGTAGTAGTAATTTATCGTCTTTAGTTTCCTAAAATCAGGATATTAGCACAAAGTGTTCCGAGACGTTTTACCGAAGTTCTAATAGGAACATGTGTATATATGATACATAACGAGTACTTATATATATGGAGAAACTTATATTATTATAATTTCTCCATAT